TGTGTGTGTGTGTGTGTGTGTGTGTGTGTGTGTGTGTGTGTGTGTGTTCTGTGTGTGTGTGTCTGTGTGTGTGTGTGTGTGTGTGTGTGCGTGTCTGTCCACTGCAGGAAGGGACACACAAATTCAGAAGATAAATATTTGATTTCTCTGTGCTATTTATAAGGCTTCTGTGAAAGCTCCTCTATGACCACTGAGCAGAGTGGTAGTGGGACGAGGAGGGGACACGATAACTGGACGTGGTGCTGAATTCAAATGCAGCCAGCTGTTATTATCAAGGGTGTACGATCTGAGGTGTGCCACTAGGGGGAAACAAAGCTCTGCAAGGTTCCTAATTAATTGCATACTGCAGTGTGGATATATTAATAACCATTTGAACATGGCCTGTGTAGCATCCTGTTTTTAACTTATATATTAAACAGCAGGAGGGGAATTTACTTTCAAACATGTAAAATCAGTACTGTACGTATCACTTAATAAATCATTATAATGCAGTTGTGAGTTATCGGGACGCTTTTAAGTGCTTGTTAATGTAATTATCAGCATCTATAGCTGGTGTGGAAACATAAAATCAGTAACACAAAATAAGACAGCAGTAGAATATAGTCATATTTAATGAAATATGTTTAACAAATCTTCAAATTGAGTTATTAAAAATTCATTAAGTGTTTATACATAATTTAAAAAAAAAATCACTCGGGCAGGTTTAAACTGCCGGTAAACATGTTCATTCATCAGCGGATTTTTCTATTACCCAAGTGCCATTGTGAAATATGTAATAATAATTAACTGTTACATTAAAAATTTAGATATGCCAAGAATTTATACAAACACCTGAAATGTCAAAACATCTGCTTACAACGGCAATATATTGTATTTTAAACCAGCTGTTTATGTAGCGCATACAAATGCATGATACAGCAGGCGAACTCAAGTGTTGCTAAAAGAAAAAAGAAAAAAGATCGGACAACAGGAAAAGATATGATCAGAGCAGATGAGGGGTATTTGCTTGTTGAAATGGTAAACACCCTCTCCCTCTGATTACAGCTACTCAGAACAGGCTGAGATGAAACCGAGCTGCGTGGACAGCAGAGAGATAAAACATGGAGCAGAAAGATAAGTCGCACTGGGGGTTTTTCCAATCCTCCCGAGTCTCCTATTTGCATCCTCGGTGACGGAGAGGATTGAATCCGAGAACGAGGTCATCCCTTCATCCTTCCTCATCACACTTAACCAATTTACAGCGCAAACATTCACATTTTACATAGCTTCAAGAAGGGGGATTTAACTTTTGGGGTGTAAATGCGCAGCTGTCAGTTTGTCGTGCACAAACCTTTTGAGCTGAATTCATCTCCTTTTTACAGTAACTAGTGATGCTTAACTGTCTGGAGCTGCGAGGCCGGCCGGCTCTCTAAACAGGAGAAGTGTTTGTGTGTGTGCTCACATCTGTAACCACTATTCGACACAAAAATCTGCTTAGGTGGGAGGATGAGGCTGAGACATCACCCTGCCTTTAAAAAATTGGCCTGGACAGTCAAACTAGTGAACACCAGGGGGGTGGGTTGTTTCTCATCAGCAGTTCTGAATAACTGCAAAAAAGACCAACACTTGATCCAGGTTTTTTTTTATTTAATAGTTTCCCCATTCCGTTTTCAAACCATATAATATGTGTTTTAGAAAAGTCCAATCTTAGCATAGTTTAGTACATATTTATATATTTTTTAATTTACACTATTTCTGTTCAAGACCGCAGTCATGCTTTTGTGTTCTTATGTGAAACTCCACTTGTGGTTTTAACTAAATACTTATTTTCGCCCCTGTCCTTTTTCCGGTGCTATGCCTCCACTGTTTGTACATGTTCAGGGGATCGGGGCAATACAGATATCTCTGGACCGGAGTGGACTAACAGAATAGCTTTGTCCTATCTAGAATTACGCCACTCGCATGAATTAAAAGGTTTTCACAAGGGTTTTGATCATTTTCAAAACACTAAACCATCCAGAGGTCTGCAGTAACATGCAGCAGCACAAATTTGGCTTAAAAAATGTAGGGTTGACATTAATTTCTATAATTATTACAATGATAACAGCAAAAACAAGCTTTTTCCCCCCTTTCTAAAAACAGATTGTCTTAACTATCATGCAAAGGTTCGGTTGTAATAGACAGTCATTTTTGGATTCTGCCCTTTTGCCAAAATGCTTATAAACCGTGGCAACGTGTTTAAAAACCTCCGTCAAAACTGATTTGACTTGCTGAATTTCACTTGCTTTCTTCCATTTCCAAGATTCAGGCAGTTGCAGCCAAGCCGAACACAGCTCACTCTCTGCTGCTTAGAGAGAACACTTAGCCTATTGACACAGACTCAGCGAAGTGCTTCAGGCTTTTCCAGTACACACACTTTCAAAACGGTTTACCAACACTTCCCTTGGCATCAGATTATCTATAAATACACAGATGGCACAAGCTTACTCTTTCTTACCAGTCTGGACACAGACTGGTGTTGATATGGGTAGAACGTTGGTTTTCAGGAGTGATGTATGAAAGCGGTATCAGCTGTGTACGGCATTAGTGAGTCGTCCTTTTTTAATCTTTGCATTTTTCTTTTACATTCAGGTGCCGTGTTAACGTTACAGAAACAATAAGACCACACAGGACAATCTGTGTTCAACAGTATCACAGACAAGACTTCTATAGCAGTCAAAAAGTAGCTCTACAAACACTAGACTTACTCACTTTGATCATGAGCAGCAGTATCTGAAAGTCTGTCTTTGGTATCATGAAAAACAACAGGACTGTGGCAAGGTCTTTGATCCATGTTACTCCATGGAGACCCTCCTGACAAACAACTCAACAAATCAAGAGAATCACAAGACCTCTTCATCGGAAATGCTAAATTATATATATATATATGCCAGCTACTATTTCAAAGTATTGAAGTAAGAGTTATTAACAGAAGCCAGCTACTTTTACACTGCCATCTCATTATTTTTCTGTTTTGGGATTCAAACATGTTGCACACAGAGCAATGGTTGTATACCTTTATACTGCAGCCTGCTTAGATTCAACGTACGTGCATGCACGTGCCTTCAAGTTAAAGAATAATTTCCTAATTTATGGCTGTTGTTACAGATCCCATGGCAACAACCTCTATTGCTTCACCTGTAGCTCTTGTATAACGAAAATTTATTTTCATTTTTTAAAAACGGTAAATCGTTTTCTGAGAACAATTCATCGGTGGAGTTTTTGCTAATGTTACTGAAACCAGAGGAAGCAGTATATATGTTGGGGACTATTTTCAGCAGCGAATTGTTTATCTAATGAGTATTTATTACAGCAAAATGGTGCATGTGGGAATGATTCAGAATAAACGACGATGCCAGCGTTCAGTGCAATGAAAGGAGGTGTCTGCCAGTGACGGTGTGGCTCACTGATGTGTTTTTAATAGTATAAAAGTGGAGCTCTGTGACAGAGGAAAATAAAGTGCTATATGGAAATTGCTGGGGTGGGGAGGGAGGCCAACTTGATGCGTTTTTAAGTGTAAGGTTTATGTCCTTATTCTAGTCTTTACTTTCAGAAGAAAAAAAAAAAGAACAGGAACCACCCATGGCATTATAAATAATGTATCTGTTACAACTCATTTAATAGCAGTCCTATTAGTCCCCTAAACCATCCAATGTCCCGTGGGCGGTACGTCCGACTGCTAACAGTTTAAACCCTCGTGGATGCAAGACAATCAGTGTGTATGTTATTAAAACCCCGAGTTAGAACTGCTGTCCGGATGGCATATTTATGACCCCCTCACAATGTCATTCACACAGATACAGTTTTTGCTGTAACTAATAAGAAAAGAATGTGAACATTTCCAGAAAAGTTAGACAGGAAGACAAATACCCTCACGCTTTTCTGCCCAGATCTATAAACCTTTAGGCGTGTACTGTCAGAACCATGTCAGCTTTTAAGTGGATAGGCAGTACTTGTTAGTTTAAATGGATTAAAGGTTTTAGAGAAATCCGGGGATGATCATTTCTTGTTCTTTTAAAAACAGATAATACACCCTTTTAAACACTAAATATAATTTAAAAAAATGCAAAATAGATGTTTATTTTATGACAACACGCTTTATACAAAGAGTGAAAATTGCAAAACATGAAAAAAATAAAATACATATTCCATCGGAAATAATTATTCAAATTTCATTTCCTTATAAATAAAATGAAAACACTGGTCGTCTGAGGACAGAAGGTCACTATGTGAGGCAGACAGTCAGAGGTGAGTCGATCAATCAATGTGCCTGCAGCTCACAGGATACCTATTGAGACAGATGGTTGCTACCCTATCATCCTTCTTCATGCTCCCTGCTGTCTGTACTGCTGTACGGTGTGCTTCGAATCTCTGCAGAGGTGATGAGCTTCTGCCACGCAGGACGCCCACGGAGAGACCCGTAACCACAGGTTTGTTGATGTTAAACAAAGTGCAATTTAGAAGATGCCTGCAGTGAAAAGCCCTCAGCAGAGTTAGGAACAACAAAGGAATCTGTAGCAGTTTCAGTGGCCGTTACCTGAACTGTGCATCAGTTTTTAGCAGCACGCCTCAGTCGGCAGAGCTGTCCGAGCTCTCCTCACCCATTGCTTTCCAGTTTTTCCTCTTCTTCTTTTTTGAGTTTGGCCCTGAGTCGGAGTCTTTGTGCGAATCGTGCTTTCGCTTTTTGCGACTGTGTGACAGCCTCTCCCTTTTTATCTCATCATTACTGTCCTCTGTGCTGATGTCTACGTCTTTTCCTCTGGCTTTTGAAGCTTTCTTGTTTTTATGTCGACTTTTAGTCCTTTTTCTCTTCTGCTTGTCTTTTGTAGCACCGCTGTCATCGCTGCTGTAGTCACTGCTCGAACTGTCCACTTTCTTACGCTTTCCGTCCTCACCTTTCTTCTTTTTTTTCTTCTTCTTCCGTGAGGATTTTTTGGACCGTTTTGATAAGCATGCCTCTGTGTCAGACTTGGACTTTTTCATTTTGTGATGGCTCATCTTCTTTTTGGCACTGTTTTCTTCACTAAAGTAAAACAAAGTCAGAAGAATAAATATAAAGACACCACTAGTATGAATAGAAGTATGATTTAATGGCTTAAAGGGGAAATACACTAGTTTTTGATGTGGAGATCAGTCAAGCAAAGAGAACCATCTCTTCTGTGGCTTACTATAAAGAAGCTCTCTGTAAAGTCTTAGAAACATAATGTTTACGATGTAATCCTAGAGTTTATTTCAGCTTTGACTTGAAGACCTCTTCGTTTTTAAAAGAAAGTATGAGCGTTAGAGATTCATTAACAAGGAAGCTCGTTAATAACCAGAATGTTAACATCATGGAGGTGTGAATGTTTGAGGCTGTGTGAAGATTAAAATACTGTGTGTTCATCATCCATTAAATCTGGATAATAACCCATTATTACTAGAGTGACTATTTGCACCCAGGTGAGAACAGTTACACAGCAGCTATTTACACTGGGCCCCCTCACTCAGCTATATCAACATGGGTGTAAATTATAGGGATTTGTATAATTTTCAAATTCTCAACTTTTTAAAAATAGTTTATCTGACTATTTCTTGCACATTTCCCCTCATTTTCTTTTACCAGTAATACTCCTACAAATATCAGCAAAACCATGAGCTCTTTGCAAACCACTATTAAACAACAAAATTAGAAGACCAAGTGTTTAAAAAGTGCTTGATGCCAGTGTACAAATATTAGCAGCATACTTCACCAAACTAAAGTGGTCAGACAGTTCAGGGTAAAATCTTTACAAACACAAATGAAATGAAGCTTGCATATCATAAATCTAGCACAGCTATGGTCACAGTATTTCTGCCTGAAATATCCAGCTTTGTTAAATGACTAGATGGAATATTTTATCCCAAAAACAATAATGCTGGAATGCTTATGACCAGGTGCATAAAGTATTTTACAGTAATACAGGAAATCTTTGTTTGTGAGCTCCTCTTACACAATCAGGAGCAATCAAAATTTGCACAGTTACAGCTCAGGTCCTCGAAGGCTATTATCTGTTTCAGAGGTATGCCATCATAACGGCCTAGCAACTGCTTAAAAACAGACAAAATGACTCATTTGTAGTGTTTATGCACCTGTAACATCACATAAAAACGTTTTAATTTCATGACAACAACATGTAATTTATATGCACAAATTTTCTTTAAGAATGACACATTATCATCATCTAAAAATCACACAGCAAACAATACTGTAGCATAGGAAAGTGCTGGAATCAAAGTCAGAACCTGATTTTAATACTATTTACAACTCATAATTACAATTATTTTGACAAATGTTGAGGTAATTAATAAAATCTAAATAGTTAATGAACTACCTAATGCAGGGGTGGGCAATTCCAGGCCTCGAGGGCCGGTGTCCTGCAGGTTTTAGATCTCACTCTGGGTCAACACACCTGAATCACATGATTAGTTTGTTACCAGGCCTCTGGAGAACTTCAGGACATGTTGAGGAGCTAATTTAGCCATTTAAATCAGCTGTGTTGGTTCAAGGACACATCTAAAACCTGCAGGGGCACCGGTGTTCTGAGAAACCATTCTACTCTGACAAAACGTCCTACCCGTATTATAATTTGACGGTGAGTTGCGACTAAACCTAAGCCTACCCCTAACCATAACCATAAGAAGTATTCCGGATGGGTGAGAGAAAAAGAAGTTAATTCGGCGTTGGTTTTGTGCGCATGCGCAGAAACATTGGGTAGGATGTTTTTCCAGGTAGGATGGATTCCCAGAACACCGGCCCTCGAGGCCTGGAGTTGCCCACCCCTGATCTAATGGGTGTACCCTTTTTTCAGTGCAGGGGGCAAGTCTCATAATGGAGTCTCTTCTTACTTCTGCTACTTTGTTAACAATGAAATTATGTAACAGACTTCAGCCTGGTATCAGTTGGTCTTGCATTACTACAAGGTTCAGGGTTGAGAGGTTAACTCCATGGAAATGCGGTAAATTGCATGAGTGCCCTTTTAAAGTCTGAATATCTATTTGAATATATAATAACCCATTTGGTATGTATGAAATTTCTGCTTACCCATCACTTTCAAACTCCTCGGGATAAAGCTCCTTGAACCCACTATGTCCCCATCTGTGATGGAAATATATGAAATCACATATATTAGTTCATCTGATGTAGCACTCCAGCATTTCCATTACACACTGGAAACACATGACCACAGCCACTTCATTATGTTTTGTTTTTTGTACAGTACCTGTCAGGATCATTGGACTCAAATTCATACAGTTTTCGAGTCCAGTATCGAGCCTCTCTGTCATCATGTTCTGAGGCCCGCTCTCTGCTTCGGTTAAAGTCTCTACGTTGATCTGACACTCGGTCGCAGTGCATATGTCCTCTGAAATACAACCATTATCCTTAAATCATCAAGTCAATGTATAATCAAAATGATAGCTGCATTACAAAGATTCAAAAGTGCTGTGATTTCATTTGTGTTTAGGTAGATCAAATTAAATTGAGGTATTTACCTCACAAACTCTGCATCTGAAAAATCTTTTCGTTGGGATGTTTGGATCTCCCAGTCTCGCATTTTCCACATTTCAATTTCCTCTTGGATCTGCACAACAACATGCACACAAAGACAACACAGAGATGCATTAGTGTACACATGATACAAATATTTACAAATGTTATCCTTCCTGTGCGTGGGTAGAGAAGAAATCCTGCCAATCAGTGGGCTAAACTACCTACTTCAACATAGTTGGTTTGTTTTGGTATTTTATACCTGGTGTATAAGAGTTTAATCTGAGCAAGCAGAGACTGGGCTTGATGTATCGCTCTCGTACAAGCTTTGTAATTTTGTTCCTAGACAGGTTAAAGATAGACTATAGCTGCAGTGTACAGTCAGTTATTTTGTCTGACCTCATACAGACTGTGACAGCGTCTATACGCAACTGACTACAATTGGATAAAATACATAAAATTATAACATTTCCTGCTAAATTGTTGTGGAAAGGAAGCCTAAAGGACCAAACAGAAGCAATGCATTTATTTAAACAAATCATCAACTCAGCTCAACTTTAAGCTTTAAGTAATTAATCAATAGATTAGTGCACATAAAAAAAAAAACCCCCTCCACCTTCATCTTACAAACACTTGTTGAGTCTAAACGCACCTTGTTGTGGGCATCCGTGTGTCGGATTACATTCCTCAGCAGCGTTTTTCCCAACGGCTGCTTTGACATGATGATACCTGACATAAGAAACATGTAAGTGATGGGCAGTAGAAACCGAAAGCAAGAGAAGGGCTACCAATAATATGAATAACTGTTATCCCTCGAACACTCAATATTTCCTATTAGCTTAGCTCGTTGCTAATAGCATAAGAATAATGTTTAAACAGCAAAACATTTTCTGAAGTCCACTCCCCTCGGCTTCGCTTAACTGTATACAAGTGTCGGCATTACTAAACGTTTACTGTGATTTATTTTTTTTAAATTATGTCCAAACTGTACCTTTCAAAACAGAGCACCATTCAAGAAGAAGAAAATACAGCGTCTACTAGCGCTTCCGCTCTACCAAGTTACGTAATGGCGTCGCGCAATCTACGTCATTGCACTTTGAGGAACTCAACCGTGATTGGTCCAAGTGTTTGTCAGTCATCTCAGCAGCTGCTGCTAAACGGTGAGAACTGCAACTTATTAACTGCAAAATTAATTAAAGTAAGAATTATTTTCTTTATAAAACGTCATTTTTTGTACTGAGTACTTTCAACACCTAAAATATTTTCATGTCATATCTGTGATTTTTTGCGTTGCACTGTGTCTTTGTGGCTCTAGAAAAAGCATATGACTGGGTGCCAAGAAAGGAACAGTGGTACAGTAGTAGGGAAGTACGTGAGCATGTTGCAGGTCATTTGTGAGGACAGCAAGACAGTAGAAGTGACAGATGGGTTCAGGTTAGTGTGGGATTACATCAGGGACTGCCTCTGAGCTCCTTCTTGCTTGTCATTTTGATAGACAGGCAGACAGATGAGGTCAGGCAGGAGTCTCTGTGGACTGTGATGCTCACAGATGACATTGTAATCTGTGGTGAGCGTATGGAGCAGGTGGAAAACAGCCTGAAAAGGTGGAGGTATGCACCGAAGAGAATAAGAGTGAATTTCAGTAAAAGCGAGACAGAATAGTTGCAGGTGTAACGGTGAACTTGGAAGGAGCAAAGGTGGATGAATTTAAATACCTGGGGTCAGGCATCCAAAGCAACAGACAGTGCATCCCCATCTTCAAGAGAAGTAAAAAAGAGAGTGCAATGAGGATGGACTGGGTGGAGACGGGTGTCAGGGTGATTTGTGACAGAAGGATAGCAGCCAGAGTGAAGATTTACAAGATCGTAGAGAGACCTGCTGTGTTGTATGGTTTGGAGACAATAGAACTGACAAAAAGACAGGAAGAAGTGGGAGAGCTGAAGATATTAAGATTTTTGTTGGTAGTGACAATGATGCACAGGATTAGAAATGAGTAAATCAGAGGGACAGCTCATATTGAGCACTTTGGAGTTTTAGAAGCAAGGCTGAGACAGTTTGGACATGTGCAGAGGAGTGATAGTGGCTATATTGGACAAAGGAAGTTGAAGATGGGGCTGCCAGGCACGTGGAGGAGAGGATTCATGGATGTAGTGATAGAGGACATGCAGAGGGTTGGTGTGACAGAAGAGGATGCTAGGGATAAAGATGAGATAGAGGTAGCCCTCGTGACCCCTGAAGGGAGCAGCTGAAAGATGTAGTGATTCCATCATTGTTACCATCCACTGTTCCTGCAGAACTTACCACTTATTCTTTGTTGTGCAGACAACAAAACAAAGCAACAAGAATATGTGACAAAGCAGAATGTATAGGTTATATCTGCTGGTTTAACTTTCAAAAGCCAGTTCACCTGTTTAGGTCATTGTAATCGCAATTACAATTGCAATGATTAATTTTATGTTAAGGATGGCTATATCTTATGTTTTAGAAAATGTGAACATATATAGCCAGGCTACTAATGTTTTGTACTGACCTATATCTGACCAAGAAATAAACAAATAAATAAATGAATAAAAATAGCTACACTCTGCATAACCCAGTTTTCACTGAAGACTTCATAGCCCCAAGTTGTACATTTGGCTCTTGGGATCTTCCTAAAGTCTCTGTACCAATATAAGGCCTGCACAACTTTCAAACAAGATGGATCACTTTCTGCAAATAAATTAGCCTTATGTCTAATTTAAATGCTGCCACAGTTGTTCAAGCCAGTACTTCAAAGGCACATTCAGTTAGTAGATGTTATCTGCTTGGTTGGATGTAGTAAGCTGCTCTCATTGCATAGTGGGTATAGTAAATTTTGGGAATCAAAGTGTATTTCTTGCATATTCATTAGACCTAATTATGGTGTTTGTAAGATATAGCGCAGAAAAATCAAACTACTATAAAGGCCATAAAGGTGATAGAAAGTAAATTCTATCATCATTATGACACATTGTTCATAAAAGGTAGAATTGTGTTATGTGAATTTGTGCACTATATCTGACAAACTCTGAAATGCACATGAACCGGGGTACATTTTTACATGAATGAGCACCTTGCACTTTAATACCACTTTGACAAAAAAAAAGGTCTCCTGTTCAAACCTAAAAGCAGGGCTTTTAGACTTTGTTCAAGTCAAACCAGATTTGAAACAATTGTGTCAGAATAATTTAATATCCAACCTCTGATGCTCTGAAAGGTGAAAAAAGGTGCTGAAAACTAGTCTACATTTACCGGTGAGTCACAAACTCTTATGTACAAGTATCAGTTTCGAATACTTGTGCAAAATGAATATGCAAAATGTTTCTTTAGATTGATACAGTACTGAACTGGTACTTTTTATTCCACTACACTGATCAAAAACTACATATTAGTGTTTCTCATCTACAAATTAAACATCTGTGGTTTCTGGACAGCTTTTCTGTCACTGCTTTAATTAAACTGAGGTCATGCTTTTCAGTCATCTTTGGTATGATATGGGCAACATCTGCTTCCTATATGAATACATTTTATAGAAATGTTTGATTTATAGATCTGTGTTCATCTGTGTCAAAACCAAGTGTTTGGTGTTTACTTTAGATTTAGAAGTTGCACTTGACTGAATGCAACACAAATTAAAAACTACTTGAAGGTTAAACCCTTCCAAACTTTTCCTTTTTACAAGGTTAACAACTTTTACGGGTCCAGCCTTGGCTGAGTACAGATTTTGAATTCTTGGTGTATATTCTTTAAATAATTATTTATTTAAAGAGCAAATCATTTTTCACATTGGTTTCAGTTATGTAGTCAATATGTACACAAGTGGTTTAATCTAAAAGATGTTGGCTTTGTTTTCGCTCTCCAATGTTATCTCCCAAACAAAAATACTTCCTTCTAAATTGACTAAAAAAATGCATCAACTTCCTAGGGGGAAACTCTTATCAGCTTCATGGTTATCTGTTTGAAGGTCACTGAAATGAAGGGGGGAAAACATAGATAACTTTTGTTTAAGGTATGTTAGTAATTTGATACAAAAACCCATAGTGACCATGCAAGCACACTCTATTTTAGCAACTCATTTGATTTACAAATAGGCTGACTGCATGCTGTCTCTGTGGCAAACTGGCTTTTTTTCTCATTGCCTGGATCCCCAGTGGTGGAATGACTTTGGCACCACACTTTGAACAGCAAAGTCATTGTTTATATATCATCCGTACATGAATCCAACAGTGCCTGATAAAAACACTTCCCTCAATCACGTCTTGCTCTGCCAAATCATCGTCTGCCTTTAGGGCACCTGAGTTTGTCCTTGTTTTTTCAATATTGGGGAAAAAATATTCAAAGTAATGCCGAGAAAAAAAGGAATCAGCTCATGATGGAACACAAACAACCTTATAAAGCTGTTTCAAGAAAAAGGTTTCCATGAAGTTATTGAAGTCGCCAAACTAATCAGTGCACTTTCTGCATAATATTGGAGCCTCTTAGTGTTATTATTATTATTTGTAAACAATTCCATTTTTTCATCCTTGTTGACAAAGCTACTTTTGAATTTAGTTATTTAAGCCTGTGGATAGATGGGTGTGGGTGGATTTTCAGTCTGTTTTTTATTTACCTGATAGGAAGTCTTCCTGCTTGCAAAATCAAGGTAGAGGACGGTCAAATAATGCATCTTAAATAACTGAAAGACCCAAACAGTGCTCACCAGAATTTTATTCATCTGTTTGTCTGTCTTACAACAAATACTGTTGTTAGACAGACAAACAGATGTCAGCCTACGACTGAGTTGAATGAAATCCCACATGATCCAGCCGTTAGGTGTTTTTGCTGACTCTTGATTTTAAATGCACTGCGATGTCTTATTTAGTCCACATATTGCTGCTGCTACCGTGCGCAGATTCAAAATTACAGCCACTGATTAGCCCATAAGTGGACGCTGACCTTCCTTCTGACCTGTAGCACGAAGCTCATTTGATGCTTGATTGTGTAGCTTTGGCCGATTAGGTGAGGTTCAGATGACTTATTATGAGCGTCATTACGATAGAATTTGATTTGCAGGGCTTGGTGGTCATGTTTGAGCTGTGAGGATGTGTAAACAGTGTTCATGGTTCGTGGAGGGGTAAAATCTTGAAAGAGTCAAGGACTGTTCAATAATGTATATTGGAGTTATTTTTGAAGACATAGGTTTGAGTTGAAAAATACATTTTCTTTTGAAAGGGCTTATAAGAAAATATTAACCTCCCCACCCCATCAGTATTTAATAAGAACAAATACATAATTTGACCTTTTGTGACCTCCATAAAGTGGTTTCTCATAAGCTTCTGACACCTTATCTGCTCATTCCTTGCATGCAGATGCTTTTAGGAACGGAGAGTGTAACAAACCTTAGTTTGTATGAGCATCACATTCTTCTAAAAGGTGACCTATTGTGCATTTCCTTACTTTCTGTTATATACCGTGGATTGATTACGTTTCCAAAATGCCAAATAATGAGCCTTAAAGTAAGAGGGCTGCCCTAAAGCCCAGTATCAGATAAATAGGGATTATTCTGAACTCTAAATTGTGCAAAGCTACTCTAGTAGAACAAAAATATGGAGCTGGAAAATGAGCAAAATAGGCCTTCTTTCAAAAGCTACTAAAGTATTAAAAGGTTTTTTTCAAATATACACTAGAAAAAGATAACCGCACATGGCAGTCGTAATAAAGGGATACACGGAATGTGGGACTAATAACACTTTATATTTTTGAAATTACAAAAATATATTTTGTGTGTGATTCAAACATTTTTCACTTATTGTAGGTATCCCAACAAATTTAAATATTTTTCTCATTTTGATTTAGCACAAATAGCTGTCGGCATGACAGCTTTCTTTTGCCTCTGCTGTTTCTCTGCATAAATCTAATGCGGCATTTGTATGGTGGGTTACATACATATTCATGGCTCTACAGTAAAGTAGCTCATTGAAGCATGCATCGATGGCGCTCATGGGGAATTTAAGACGCTGTCATTTTGTTATGGGCAGAACTGCAAGCTGCCACGTTGAGACCTACTTCACGTTTTTTGGTTGCTTTTTTTTCCTTCCTGCTGATGA